ATGGTTAAATGGTTGGATGGTTAAATGGTTGGATGGATCATTGGATGGTTAAATGGTTGGATGATTAAATGGATGGATGGATGGTTAAATGGTTGGTTGCATGGTTAAATGGTTGGATGGTTAAATGGTTGGATGGATCATTGGATGGTTAAATGGATGGATGGTTAAATGGTTGGATGATTAAATGGTTGGATGGATGGATGGTTAAATTGTTGGTTGGATAGTTAAATGGTTGGATGGATGGATGGTTAAATTGTTGGTTGGATAGTTAAATGGTTGGATGGATGGATGGTTAAATTGTTGGTTGGATAGTTAAATGGTTGGATGGATGGATGGTTAAATTGTTGGTTGGATAGTTAAATGGTTGGATGGATCATTGGATGGTTCAATGGTTGGATGATTAAATGGTTGGATGTATAATTTATCTTAGTTTTTCATACCTCGTTCTGTGATCGTAAACTCCAGGTTTTCAGGTCATCTTCAAGGAAATTTTCAGACAAGGGTAAATAAAACAGGCTTTCAGGCAGCCTCCGAGGCGCCGACGCCCGGCTGTTCACCTGTCAATCAAATATTTATAACGAGCTTTATAAAACAGGTGAGTAAATCTGACTCTGAATACTTTAAAGTAAATATACTGACGTTGTACATGTACTGCAGGACTTGAAGCAGGTTTCTGACTCCAGAGCTGCGAGGAACAGGATCATAAGTAAAGATCAGAGACAGCGCCTGCTTCCACATCACGATGAACCTCCTCATGGTGGAAGGTGACAGTGAAGACCACCAGTTCCCTGAAGAAGAAGACGAGTCCATCTCAGACCACTGAGACCTCCCAGAGCAGTCTGATTAAAGAGAACGTACCTAAGACCTGGAGGCTTTGAACGGACAGGCCGGTCACGGCGGCAGCCAGCGCCTCGGTGAGCCTGGTGTTCTGTTGCGCCGTGTGTTTCTGCAGGACGTGCAGAAGCTCGTTCAACAGCAGGAAGACCCTCAGGCCCTCCATGCTGACGGGGTTCCTGTCGAGAAGAGGCAGCAGGCGCAGAACCGCGGCCTCGACCTGGTGATTCAAAAGAAAATGAGTGGACGTGTCTAATTCCTGGTTCATGTTTAGTCCAAGCTTCAGCTCACCTCTTCCCAAACTGCGCTTTTCTTCACCAGTTTCTTAAAGAACTGTCGGGCCTGTTTGAAGTTCAGACCGTGGTACTTTGACGAGGTTTGAAAATGTTTATCTCTGAAAATAAAGAAATATAAAAGCTTTTCTGAAATTGCTGCAACAGAAAAAAGGAGGATAATAAAGAAGTCAGAGATTTAAAAACCAACGACTCGTTGGCGTCTGTCGTTTTCCCACTTTTAACGTTACAAAATAAAAGTCTTCACCTTTGCTCCAAGAAGCTTTTATTCAAACAGGAAGCGGTTGAAAATGATCGGTGGATTTCCCTGTGAAGAGAAAAACATTTCACTTTACAATCTCAGTCTTTGTGAGTATTTATCTGCTGATGTTTTAAACTCACTGCTGAATCTTTTTCCACGACTTTGAATCACACTCAGAAACCCACTTATCGACGACGCCCTCCAGGCCGTACTGAGCCACCTTAGTGGAGGAACCCTGTGGTCCCTCATCAGAACTGCAGGTGGCAAAGGAACAGTTTTCTCCTGCAAAGATGTTCTGGACTCTCTGGGAGTCGGTGTCTGAAATGAAAAAATAATTCTGTTTATTAAAAAGTGTTTTTCTATCAGCAGCAGGTATTTATATCCAGGATATATTCACCCTGAGGCAGTGAAACAGGAAGTGGAACGGACGGATGGCTCTCCTCTCCATGACCCAGCTGCCCGTCATCTCCACAACCAAACGAGTAAACTTTATTAGCATCCGTCAAAACTAAGGTGTGGTTTCTGAGGAGGTAGCTCAGTTAGACGAACAAGCAGGATCGTACACCTTAAATGTTTGGTTAGGATTTTATTCAGAGGTTTACCTTCCACACGCAACCTTCGCCACCTTTGCCCCCCAGAGTTCTGCGACGAGTCGAGGACGGAGCTCGTCCCGGAACGAGTTGTGCCCCAGCTGGCCGTGCCGACCGGAACCGAAGGTAAAAACTACACCGTGCTGAGAGACGACCAAAAAAAGCAGCTTTAACATAGATCATATTTATACAGAAGGAGAACCTCAAGGAACTGTTCTGGGTCTCCAGGTTTTTATTTAACAAGACTCACCGGTCGATGATAAACATATTTACATTCTTTGCAGATGATATCTGGGTTTATCTTACTGCACGTGTTAAACTCTAGACCAGGGCTGTTCAACTAAATCACTCCAGGGGCCACAGTTACTGCAGGTCAACAGCTCAGAGGCCGAACATCCAGCAATTAAAGTCATTATGTCAATAAACCAAGTATTACAGAGATCTGTTACCTTTGAAATAGTTTATTTTGCTGTATTTTATCATGAATACAACATACAGAACCCTACAAAAGTAGTGACAATTAAACAATATCAAAAACAAAAATAGCTCATTATGCCTCTTTAACACAAATATTATTTTGACATCTCTGACTTGCCAAAATTTTAAACTAGAGATGCTCGATATTGACTTTTTGCTGATATTTAATATGCTGATATTGTTCAACACTTAATTTCCAATATTAACTGATATTACAAACCAATATTGAGGTGACATCACATATCTCCTGTCAGGGACATTATGCCTGCTTTTACTGTGATACCTCACTAGATGCATTCCACAGGTGAACATTATACAAAGTAAAAACCATTTCACTGAAGTTATGGGAAAAGTGCCATATTTATTGTTAACATTTTGTCCCAAACAATAGTTTGGATCATGCTGTCCCTGAGATAATCTGGTTTAATGATGTCATTAGTAACAAATCCAGGCATTAATTTATTGGGCTTTTGTTATCAGAAGAAAAACCGATACCGATATGTAGAGATTTTACATTTTTATGCAAATATCACACCGATAATATCTGTAGGCTGATATTATTCCATTTTTAAACCAATTTTATTTTCACTTTCATAGTTTTATTTTCAGCTGCTTGTAATTTTAACTGTCTTGAGTGTGCATGGAAATGGTTTTTACCAGCTTGTAGCCAAGATTTCTACATTTCTGTATATACCACACTTGTCTAACTAAAGAGTTAATAAAGTAGAAAACCAGGGGTTTGGGTTCAAAAGATGACTGAACCAAATGGCGGGCTGAACTTTGGTCACTTGCGGGCCAGTTGTGGCCCGTGGGCCACCAGTTGAATAGCCCTGATCTAGACAAACTCTAGACTGCAAAATGATTGTGTCCCACCAGCCCACCACTAGGTGGAGCTGCACGGGGTTCAAAAGTAGAGGTGAAATTTGCTGGGTAAAATCTCCTTTTCGTCAAGTACAGTTGAACTGGGAAGTGGGACTTTCCCAATGAAAAGTCATAAATTTAAACTGGAACTCCGCCTCAAGTGGGAATTCCCTGTTGGAAAGTGGGAGAGTTCAGAATTCAAGGCCGCAGCTACTCACCACAACTCAACAGTGAGTAAAACTGACTTTTAATAGTATTTCTGTTTTTATTAATTTCCCATTTATTCTGTTGTGGTACTTTTCAGTGTTTGAGAGGTTAAACGCTGTTTCTATGCAGGAAATACCAGGTAGAGCTCAGTTAGTGTTTGTTGTTGGTGGCTGACCTTTGTTAAAACAGCTGTGTGGTCCTTTCCACACGAAACGTCACAACTTTTCTTCAGATTCAAACTATGAAGGCAGGTTGGAGTGTATCTGTCTGGAAGGAGAGGTAAAAACAAATCGTTAAATTTAAAAATGCTGCAGCAGAAATATTAATATTTAAATATCCAACCTTTGGTGTCTCCCAGTCCCAGCTGTCCACAGTCGTTCCTCCCCCAGCCCAACACGCCCCCGGACACGGAGAGGGCGAAGCTCCGCTCTCCTCCCGCGGCGATCCGAACCACCGGGACGGAGGACAGAGACTGGAGGTGCTGGGGGGAACCGGCACCGCAGTTCCTCCTCCCCAGACCCAGCTGGCCCCTGGAGTCCAGACCCCAGGTGTAGACCTGACCGTCTGTGGGTGGATCGCAAAGAGTCACACAAGGTTTTCTCTTCTTTTTTAAAAAAAAATACTAAACTTTATGGCACCTCTGGTCAGGGCGACTGAATGCTGGCTCCCACAGGACACCTGAGCGACCGGGATGTTGGCAAAAACCTCCAGCATCCTGAGAAACAAACAAACAAACAAAACAAAAACAAAACAGAGAATAGGCCTAGTTTTACAAAACTAACTCATAAATGAGATGATCTATCATTTTTATTTGCCATTTCTCCACCTCAAGAGCCTGAAAATGCTTTGAAATTTTGAGAAAAATGGTCAATTTCAAGGGATTTTATGAGAGTTTTCAGACAAATGGTTAATTCTGATGACAAACCTGTTGGAAAACTTAGATTTTAGTTACTTGGATCATTATTACAGCAAAAATCTATATTTTTATTTATTTTTAACTGCAGCTTGGGTTCATTCTGACTCATTGATCCAGCATGGGTCACACGCTGTGGTTCAAACCCAGTTTTCCCTCCTCACCTGGGTGTGTAAGGGGTTCTGGTTGTGTCCACGCAGAGAACCGATCCTCTCTCTGACAGGAACGTCACCACGTCGTCCTGACAGCTCACCGCCTCGATCGGCTCCTTGAACTTCACAAACTCTGCAAACACAAGCCGGAGGAGTTTGGACCAGAACTGAGGGGAGCACTGGGAGCTGCCTGGCAGCTGAAGCCACAACACAGTTTTAAGCCCCGCCCCTTTATGTGCACGAATGAAGGCCTTCACGTTTCCTGTCTTTTCTTCAATCTACAACCTCATTTAGTGCCACACTCGGAGTATGTGTTGTGAAGGATTCTCCTCTACTACCAAACTAAATTTGAGCTCAATATCCACAAATTCAGCTGAGCTATGGCCATTTTTGTGTTGCCTTATGTTGATGAGCTGTGACGGCCATTTTGAATTGAACTCACTTGAAAAGTTAATCATCATGAAAGGCACATCCAATAATACATTTCTAAAAGTTTCATGAAAATCCATCCAGCGGTTCGTGAGATATTTTGCTAACAGGCAAAAAAAGCTGGACTCTCGCAGTTAAGCTACAGTTTTTAAGCCAAGGTCAAGTGTAATAAGCAACCTTCAGAATATGTGTTGTGAATAACTCTCAGCTACGATCATACCAAATTTTAGAACATAATTTGTAAAACTGAATGATTTATAGCATTTTTTGTGTTTCCTAAGTTCAGCTGGCTGTGGCGGCCATCTTTAATTAGATTGGCTCCAAATATTAATCAGTTGTAAAGTTACATTTAGTGACTGTTTTCTGAAAGTTTCATTAAAATTCACCCAGTGGTTAGTGTAATATTTTGCTAACAGACAAAAACAACAGTTTTGTTGCAGACTCACTCTGTTTTCCTCGGACTCTTCGTCCATCTCTGCTCTCATTCACGCGCAGAATGAACGCGTTTCCGTTGTTTTTCACAAAAGCCAGGACGCTGAGCCCGGCAGACAGGTCCGCCACGGGGCAGCCGATGTTCAGGTGATGGACTCCGTCACCTGAGGAGGACCTGCAGGAGGACCTGCACGAGTCCGAGTCGCCTTTCAGCACGAAGCCGCGCTGGCTGTCCTGTCCCCAGGAGAACATGCTGCTGCTCCTGGACTCTGAGGGACTCTGGAGTCTCCAGGACCAGAAACTGATCTGTTATTGTTCTGCTCAGCTGTCAGTCAGAAACGAAACTTTAACTGGAAAATGAAAAACAAAACCTAAACCTGCAGAGAGGAGCAGCAGGAGGAGGAGGAGGAGGAGGAGGAGGAGGAGGAGAGGCGCTGATGTTCTGAGGAGAAATGAAAATGAAACTAAACAGAAATGTTGAGCTGGTGAAGCTTTCATAGTTTTACTATTTCTTACTTTTAGCTTTTTACTAGCCTTTTGCTACTTTTACTTGTTTTATATATAGTTTGCCTTGCCAGTTGCTATTTTTATCTAGCTTTTTGCCACTTTCAGCTAGATTTTTGCTATTTTAGCTAGACTTTTGCCATTTTTACCTGGCTATTTGTTACTTTTTGCTAGCATTTTGTTACAATTAGGTGGCCTTTTGCTACAAAGTTTTTTTTTCTAATTTTTACATGTCCATTTTTTAGCCAGTAATTTTTTTTGCCACTTTTAACTAGCCTTTTTTTGCTACTTTTATGTTTTATATATTTTTGCCTGACCAATTGCTATTTTTAGCTAACTTTTTGCCACTTTTAGCTAGCTTTTTGCTACTTCAAGTAACCTTTTGCCACTTTTTTAACCTAGATTTTGCTATTTTTACCTGGTTCTTTGCTACTTTTAACTAATTTTGCCACTTTTAGATTTTTTATATTCTTGCTTTTTTTAGCTAGCTTTTTGCCACTTTTAGCTAATCTTTTGCTACATTATTTGTACCTGTTTTTTTTTTTTAAGAATAAAGTCAGAGAAAGAACATAAAACAACAATTTTTGTTTTGTTTTACTTTTGAACTTTTATCTAAAAAATTGTTCTGATTATTCTGTTTTTGGGTGGTATTTTATTTGAAAACAAATTATTTGAATGGTGGATTTAACTCAGGACAAATAAGAGAAACAAACGAGTCAAATTCAAAATTGAAAATGTAATTTAAAGGGCTTTTGTTCTATCTTGAAAACTACACAATGGAAAAATGCTGCCACCCAGTGGTGCATCTGTGTCATTACAACTTTAAACCTAATTAGTTTTAAAGTTGTAATGACGCAGATGCACCACTGGGTGGCAGCAGAGTGACCAGAAATGTTTGAAGGCCTTCAACTTTCTCAAACTATGTTTTTACTAAATAATTTTCCATCCAAGGAAAGACTGATTATGTATATTTAATGAGAAGGAGAAAAAAGTGTATTTTTAAATCAGATAAACAAGCTGCCAAAGTCTCTAATCTGTGAAAAAACTCTAGAGGCCTTTCTGACTAAAAACCAAAACAAACATCAGTTTTATTACGTCATGGTGATGGATCTGCTAAAGACCGGCTGAGAACAATAGCTTAGAGTCCAATCACTTGTCCGGTGGTTCATGAGATATTTTGCTAACAGACAGTCAAACACAGTCTGGGCTAGGAGTTGAAGTCCATTTGAAAGCTCCGGCCTGTTTTCTGTGTCGACTCGAAGTCCAGTAACACTGAGCAGATATCAGGCTTCAAAGGGCCTCACCGGGCTCAGGACGCAGCAGAGATTAAACACTAAAACACAAAAAAGACACACAGAGAGCAGAGCGAAAAGAAGGATGAGGGACATGGGTTCTGTCCGACAGCTGAGATCCAGAACCACAGGCCCGGGGACTTTCAGGGGATTTCCACAGAGGGAAATCAGACACATTGTCTGATTTACACACTGCTTAAACTTAAAATAAAAGTTAACAAAAATATTAAATGACATTTTTTCTGCTTCTGATTAGAAATGAAAAGTTTCTTAAACTTATTTTATTCAAACAGGAACAAAAACATCAGAAAATCAGACTTTTGAACTAAATAACGAAGCTATTAGTGATAACGGATGAGAAAGTAAAAAAAAAAAAGAGCAGCTGAGGAACAGCACATTAATTTTTTATCTTTTTTTTTTTTTTTTTTTGACTGGGAGGGGAGCCAAGGAATGCAACGAGGAATCTGGAGAGATAAAGAGTGGATGGTACTGTGTGTGTTTCTGCAAATCTTTCTGTTTATCTGAGTCAAATTTAAACCTGACCTCAGATAAAACTTTCTTTTTTTTTCATTAAAACATTCAGTTTTCGTCATAAACAGAGCAGGACAGTATGTTGTGAAATAGAAAGGGTGGATCAAAAATGATGCACAGCCTCATTATTTGCTAAATCTTTCTCTTTTAAAACATTTTTACTGCTCTCTAAAGAATCAAGGAAACTGAGTATTATTATCCAAAAGATTGGTTAGTGTTTTTTTTTGGTTCTAATTAGGAAATAAATACATTTTCCAAAGCTTGCAAAAAGAGACTTGTGCTTCAAACTGTGCCGCCAACCAAACTGCATTTCTGTGCAGAATGTAAAAACAATTTCTCCACTATATTTCTGTCACTTTTGTGTCTTTTGTGTTTGTTACAAACATGTTTTGACTGTGCATTAAAAAAACTTTCATATGAGGTGAAAACAGCACGTTTCTCAAACCTATTTAGCGGTATTTGTACCTAGCTTTTTGCTAGCCCATTGCTACTTTCAGCTAACCCTTCAGTATACCTTGCTACCAAATTGTTACTTTGAGCTAACTTTGTTACATCTTGATTGCCTAGCCTTATACTTCTGTTTTTTGTTACTTTTAGCTAGCTCATTGAGCTAGCCTATAGCCACATTGAGCTAGTCCTTCTCTACTTTGAGCTAACGCTACATCTTGATTGCCTTAAGACCTTTTGCTACTTTAGTTAGCCTTTGGCTACATTGATCTAATCCTTTGTTACATAATTGCTAGCCTAGCCTTACACCTTTACCTGTTGTTACTTTTAGCTAACCTGTGGCTACATTGAGCTAGCCATTTGCTACTTTTAGCTAGCCTTTTAGTATACCTTGATACCAAATTGCTACCTTTAGCTAGCATTTGTTACTTTGAGTCAACTCTTTGCTACATCTTGATTGCCTAGCCTTATACTTTTACTGGTTCTTTTGTTACTTTTAGCTAGCTCATTGCTACATTAGGCTAGCCCATTGCTACACTGAGCTAACTACATCTTGATTGCTTTAAAAGACCTTTTGCTACTTTTAGTTAGCCTTTGGCTGCTTTGATCTAATCCTTTGTTACATCTTGCTAGCCTAGCCTATACCTTTACCTGTTCTTTTGTTACTTTTAGCTAACCAATGGCTACATTGAGCTAACCATTTGCTACTTTTAAAAAGCCCTTTGCTACATTTAGCTACACCTTTGTTAAATCTTGCTAACCTTCAGCTACTCGCCAACTTTTGATGTGCAAAAATTAGCGTTAAAAACAGACGCTGCACATTTTTAGGTAATCTGTGTGTGTAAAAATTATAATTGTAAAATTAATCCAAGATTTTTAAAACTTAAAAAATGACAAACAGATTGTAAAGATTGCAAGGATGAACTTTTACTGTAAAACAGCAACAAAACCAACATTTTTCATCAGTGTTTCACTGATATTTACTTTTTTATAACTCAGAAATGAAAAAAACATCAGAGGAAAGAAAAGCAAAAAAATCTGATCCAACTAAAGAAAAAAAAATATCAGTTAATTTACACGACTTATTATCCCCACAGTGAAGAATAATTATTTACATCTCGACCACAAACCCAGCAGGTAAAAAAAAAAAAAAAAAAACAGGAATATTTACACACCACAAAGACAATTTAGAGAAACAAATCCTCAGCTTTTTAAAAGCCTTTAAAGCTTTTTTACGAGGCAAACACAAACTATCTTTTCAAATTAAAAGCTACAACAGAGTGACTTAAAAAAAGACGAAGAGGTTCTGTTGGAGAGGATGCAGGAAGTCACCAGCACCTCTTCGCCCGTTAAATAATTCCAGTGAAAGCGTAGAGAGAATAAATAAGCTTTCCCAAAGTAGTTCCACATAAGAAACATTTACAAAACAGGAAAAGGTGCTAAACCTCAGATTAGATGAAAATAATCTGAACCTGCAACTATTAGGATTAAAACAGCAACCGTTTTACAGAAATCACAAATTACCTAAATGTATTTTTTTTTTTTGGCAGGGGAAACCCAGCAGCTGGAAAAATAAAGTTTGATATTCAACTTTTCTGCAAACCAAAGGTTTTAGTGTTTAATGGTGAAAATATGAGGTGGCTTTCAGGATAAAAAGAGACTTTTTCAACACAAATCAAAGAGATTTTTGCGTCTAAATTCAGATTTAACACTATTTATGGTTTGCAGAAACGTCAAATTGTAACTTTTCAGCTCAGAAACCAAATTTCTGCGTCTAGCTGGGCTCAGATGGAGAGCTGGAGTTTGGTCAGGTTCCTCTGGTGCATGTTGTGGTGTCGCACCAACTCGTCGCTGCGAGCAAACTTCTTCTGACAGTTGGGCCACCTGCAGTTAAACGGCTTCTCACCTGAGAGGCGACGCCACAAAAAGCAATCGTTATAAACCGAGTCTTAAAAATCAAAGCAAAAAAAATAATTTTATATTCGAACGTTCTTCTGCCTACGACAACAAAAAACGTTTTTTTTTAGCTGCTACGTGAACATCGAATGGTATGAAGAAGGAATGGAAAAATAAAAGTTTACGCACTTGTTTTACCTGTATGAGTCCGTGTGTGTGTCTTAAGGTGGTCAGACCGAGAGAACTTTCTCTGACACGTCTCGCATTCGAACGGTCTAACTCCTAAACACATGTACAGTAAAACATGCACACGCATTCAAACGGGTCAGGTTCGCACAAACGGGGGAAAAAACACAAGAACGTCACACAAACACACACACACAGAGGGGGGAGGGGGGGGGGTAGAAGAAAAATAAAATAAAATACAGCAGAGCAGAGGAAGCCAGGCAAAGTTTGGCATTTAGCTCACAGTTCAAAGCGTCATCGTACAAAAAAAAACGAGAAAATATAGAGACGTGCAAACAGCAGAGAAAGCAGAATAAAGAAAAAGCTCTGGAATAAAAAATTAATTAATTAATTAAATCAAAACTGTTGTAGTAAAATCGTTCAAACCTGTGTGCCTCCTCTGGTGTCTTTTAAGCTGATCGGAGCGAGAAAATCTGCGACCGCAGTCGGTGAACTCACACTGGTAGGGCTTTTCCCCTGAGAAAACACAACGATTACACGTTAAAGTTCATGTGTTGCGCTCCCTCTTCCTCTAAAAACAACGACATGGAAGAGTTTCCCCTCCTTGCAGTTGTTTTTAAATAAACTTTAAACTTTAAGCTAAACTGTGGCAGCAGCATGAACAGTAGATCTGCACATGGATCCTGCTACTTCCTGTCTGTTGGCCAATAGGAGAGAAGCTAACCCAAGAAGCCACACCCACCTTATTTGAATAATGAGGCAGAAATGCATAAGGTAATATAAATACAGGAGACAGAGAAAAATATAAAAACACATGGGAAATAAAAAGACTTTTGAAAAAAAATTAGATATAAACATTTAAAAGACAGATGCATGCGCAGATAAAAAGAAAAACAAAAAATATATATTTTTTAAAAAAGTAAAATGTAAATTATGTGCCTATATATATAATTTTTTGGAACTGAGCTGGAAAAATAAATATGAAGGTCAATTAAATTATAAAACATGAGGTAAAGTTCTGCTTGTATAATTTAATTGGTGCATTTTAAGTGTTTTTATCATGCTTTTATTTCTAAACCTGCCAACTTCCATACATGGATAGGGAATAAATTGAAATTTTCTGCACTCCTAGAGACTCCAAGTACACAACAAAATGTAGTTAAAGTGCCTGTGACATCAATTTTTGTAATAAAAATGAATGTATTTTTGGAAGGATAACATTGATAACATATTGTAAAAAATATTTCATGCCGCTGAGATAAACAGTTGTTGAGATATTTGCATGTGCAGTAACAGGAAGTGATGTCAAAGGGGAATGTCTGAATGTGAACAGAGCAATGCTAAAATGGCTAACAACACAGACTGTAGAGAAGAATATGATGATAGGTTATTTTAATCACTATCATACAGAGATGAGAAAGAGAGTTCAAATAATATTGTTTTAATAAACAAAGTCCTGGGAGTTTTATTTCTTTAAGAGTTTCCCTTTGATGTCACTTCCTGTTTCACTTTAGCTGAGCCAAGTTCAAAAGAAAATAAGCCAATTATGTGACATAATGGGTAAAATCGTGTGTATTATGGTGAGTTTCCTAAATAGAAATACATTTTCTTTGACTTTTTGTATTTCATGAATATGCATGTCACAGGCACTTTAAGGGGTAAAAAAAAGTAGATTTTGTTCCGTTTAAAGAAAGCACAAACTGAGGTTAAAATCAAAGATCGTAAAACTGTTCATTCATTCTGTGTCGTATGAGGCTAATCTGTATTAAAAAAATGTATTTTAGGGATCAGAGAGTTAAAAACATTGAGCTATAGGACCTCCTGCTGATTTAAATGCAGGTAAACAGCCTGTTTGGTTGGCGGTGCAGTTTGAGGAGCACATCTCCCTTTGATTTGATTTGATTTATTTAACAGGAAAAGATTATTAAAAATCAAGCCTGACTCAGCATAATTGCTGTTTTACAGCAGGTTCCTGTTCTGCAGCACATAAAACACTCAGAATTACAGCATCACAATCACATCATTATACACCATAGACACAAAGACAAACAAGCATACCAAATTTCAGGAAGGCAGCATTTGCAAAATAGGACGTCTAAATATGAGCACAACAAAAAGTGTCCAGCAGATGGCAGACAAGATTCTTCTTAAAGGGCTGTAGTTTTGAAATGGACTTTATGTTTTGAGGAATGTCATTCCATGCTTTAGTATAAACATAGAAGAAAGACCTCTGGCCATAACAGTTTTTAAAAGTTGGTAATATCAGTTGTCCTTTTGTAACAGATCTAGTTGAATGACCACTTCCAGAATTTGATTTGGACAACAATGCACAGAGAGTTCCATAATTGGCACCTTGGAAGATCTGAAAATATAGATTAATACCACTATACAAAACATAATTCTGAAAAGTCAAGGCATCAGACAATGAAAGAACTGTACAGTGATGAGTCCAACCAGGAAGTTTTTTATGAATTTTGTAGGCCCTGTTGTAGAGCCTAACTATGGGTTCTAAGATTTCATTTGTTGTAAGAGACCAAACAGGTAAACAGTACGACATGGTTGAGAGTATAATGGCATGAAGATAGATATTTGAAACAGAAGATGTCAGATTGGATCTAATTTTTGAATAAACATATAATTTGTTTCAACTTAGTGGTTAAGACTTGTGCATGATCACGATAAGTCAAATGAGAATCCAAAGTAATTCCAAGATATTTGTAGGTAGTGACAATGTCAAGGGGTTTGTTTAAAAGTGAGTTGATTTGTTATATTGAAATGTCTCCTGGGTGAGGAAAAATACATGCACACAGTTTTTTAACATTAATTGACMAAADWTTATCTTGAAGCCAACCATGAAATGTCTGAAGATCTGCTTGTAACTGACTATTAATAGATTCAATATTGAAATCAGACAAAAAAAGAACAGTATCATCAGCATACATTAAAATATTTGAATACTTCAATATTTTTGGAAGGTCATTTATGTATAACAGGAAAAGCAATGGGCCCAGTATGCTAAAAATTAAAAGGCTGCTTCTTCAAGACTCAGGACTCTACACGGATAAATTTTTGATTTGATAAAACAATTTACATTTTTTTGAATGCGACTCGGCGCTTTAACAGAACACCTTGACGCTGCAGCGTGCGGCAGGTAAAATTCCTCTGCTTCAGCTGCTCTCACCTGTGTGTTTGCGGCCGTGCATCTGCAGGTGAGACAGTTTGAAGTAGCGTTTGTTGCATCCTGGGTAGGCGCACATGAAGGGGCGCTTTTCGCTGCTCTCGGACCGCACGATGGCCGGAGTGATGCTGGGAACCCGCCGCACGTCCTGAGGAGAAAAAAACAAACAAAACCTTTTCATTTAAAAGCTAAAAAACAAAACAGGAACAGCATCGATTAGTCAAGTGTTGAAACGTTAATTTAAATGGACGATTAAAGCTGTGGGTAAATAAATATCTGTCATTAGGATTAAACAGTCATATATTCATGAGGTGGGAATTAGCGGTAAAATGACCTGACTGACTGTGCCCCTGAGGGAGCTGTTAGTCACGCCTTTTAGCCCCGCCCCCTGGACTCCTCGATGCAGGAGGATAAAGTTTAGACCCCTCTGTTCTGACCCTTCATCTCTCTATCCTCAAACATCTTCACTTCAAACCCTCCACACTTTCTCCACCTCCTCCTGCTCGAAACCATCTGCTCCTCGTTTCCTCGACGTAAAACCCTGAACAGTTAGCAGTTAGCGGTTAGCGCCGTCAGAAGCTGCAGCTGATCCACATCAGTGGAATAAATCAGGAGGTGTCAGATTAAAATGATTAAATTTTCACCTCATTTATGCCATGGGTGCTATGACTTTTAATATTTCAGCAACTTCTACATCATTTTAATTATATTTTATAGCTTTTCGAACACCTTTTCAATGTCCTTAAAATCCTCATAAATCTTTATTTGACTTTACTTTTTGTTCTGGTTGTGCCTTTTTCAGCTTCTTTGTGCTAATTTCAGCTTCTTGAATTGCTCATTTTAGTTTTGTTCAGTGCCTCTTTTGAGGAAAGATTTACAGTAATTTCAATAATTTTGAATTGTAATCTGATATTTATTGCTATTAAAAGTGTTTTGAGTTCACATTTGAATCTTTATTATATCGATAAATATGTTGAAAGCACAGTGAAAATAATGCAAATGTCACTGCAATGTCTGTAGATTTGAAGCATGGAGGACATTGTCCTGTGTGAGAAGCTGTCATGTCATGTCTGCCAGTTTGGCAGAAACGCTGACATCAGCAGCTTTCAGCAGGAAATCTTCACACTGAATTGTCGCAGGTGATGCAAATTCTCAAGTTATTTCTGCTTTCGTTTGACTCGTGTTCAAATGACCCATAGAGCCTTAGATTAAAAACTATAAAGATGTATTGAACTTAGGCCCCGCCCACACAGCGCTGGTACTTTATAAAATGTGATTTCCTGCGTCAGCTCCTCCTGTCCAAACTATGAGCTGTTAAAAAACGTTGACAGTTTGTTGTAGCAAAGGAAATGCACGATTCTATAAAGCAATAAAAATGAACAAGTTACAGTTTTAACACATTTGAACTGCGATGCGAGAACTTTAAAAAGAAGAATTACATCATCATCTTACGACTCACTTAATAATTAAGCTAACTTCTCCAGTAAAAACCTCTTGTTTTATTAACTGAACCTGCTGCCTCAGCTTCAAGCAGCTCTTAAATGACTCTTTTGAGAGGCGTATGAGGAAGCGAGTGTTTATTCTGAGTATTTTTTTATTTTAATCATTGGCAATGCACACTATTGTGATTCGTTTCCCATCCAAGTCATCTCAACTTTGTCACGCTTCTCCTCCTGCATACTTTGTCCTAGAGCTGCCATTGTAATCTGTAAAGCTCCTGTGCCAAATGATGGCTATGCCTTTTGGTACCTGTAAAACTTATAGTTTATGTAATATTAATG